TAGACAGCAGGACACACAGGCACACCGGACACACAAGCATGCATGCCCTTACCTAGCTTCTGCTCTAAATACATGTTCACAGTGGTGAGACATTTTACCAATAAGAGGTGACTTTAGCTTCTGGTGGCGGGCATGCGGGATGGGGCAATGCCTCTGGTGGGAACACAGGCGTGTTTGAGGACAGGCCCAGTTCAGTATGCTTCCAGCACTTTCACCATTCATCTTAGTTTCCTTTCTGTTGCTATGATAAAATGTCCTGAGGAAATCAATTTAACAAAGGGTCCGGCACATTGGCATCACATCCTCAGGAGCCGCCATGTGGGTGCTGAGAATCGAACTCCAGTCCTCTGGAAGAGCAGCCAGTGCTCCTAATGGAGGCAGTATCTCCCAAGCCTCCCTCACACCCACACCAGTGCAGTCTTTTTGTTTGTTTGAATATTGCGTGGGAAATAAGATTCTGGGACACAATGTAGGCTGATTGATGTTTATTTAAGAAGAAATCACTTACACCAGAAACAGATGACCGCTGCGGGTTCCTGCTCCAAGGATGCCCCCAGATGCTCTCTGCAACCAGACCAGGAAGTAAGAGAGCGAGCTGGGGTCCAGGACCCCAGACCTAGACCCCACAGGTCACATCTGCACCTGCCCTATGCCCCAATGGGCGTGGTCAGTGCAACAGGTGCGGACGGGGTGGATATCTCACTACATTTGTTTGTCTGTTTAGTTTTTCGAGACAGGGTCTCTCTGTGGAGCCCTGGCTGTCCTGGATCTCCCTCTGCACACCAGGCTGGCCTTGAACTCACAGAGATCCATCCGCCTGCCTCTGCTTCTGGAGCACTGCGATTAAAAGTGGATGCTACCACTGCCCGGAGTAAGAGCTAGCTTTTAAGTGATGGCTTCCCTGCTCCAGTAGGTAGCTTGCTGAGAAAGCATGAAGCACGCTTTAAAACGCCATGGCCTGGGTTCCGATGATGTACTCAGGGCAGGGTGTGGGATCATGTTGCTCACTAGCTATGTGCACCTGTGCTTTGACCCACTTGGGACGTGGCTCCAGACCTAGCCTGTCTAGCTTCTCTGTGGTCATGAGGATGAAACTGTGTGTCTCAAAATTAACATCAATGATTGAGTCATGATTTCTTTTTCCTTTCTTTCTTTCTCTATGCTTGCTTGGGCTTGAAGCCAGAGCCTCACAGAATGCAGACAAACGCTCTGCAACTAAGCTACACCCACAGCCTTGGCATTTCAATCTTCAGGGCCAGATTTTTCAACAGAGAATTCATGAAGTTCTGGGCGTGGTGATGCATGCCTTTTGTCCTAGCACTTTGGAGGCTGTGGCAAGTAGATCTCTATGAGTTCAAGGTCAGCCTAGTCTACTTAGTTGAGTGCCAGGCCAGCCAAAATTATATAGTGAGACCCTGACTCAGCCACACCCTTGCTCCCCACTCCCCCCCCCACAACAAGAAAGTTCATGAGTTTTGTTTTGTTTTAATGCTCATTTCTTCATAACTGTAATTTTGCTACTGGTATGAATTGTAATGTAAATATCTGATATGTAGGATAGTTGATATGAGACCCCTGTGGGGTTGAGACCCACAGGTTGGGAACCTCCGTTCTAAGGGTTACAGGTCATGGATGGAACTAAATGGTCTCTCTCTTCCTCCCTCCCTCCCTCACTCCTTCCTTGTCTGTCTGTCTGTCTCTCCCTTCCTCCCTCGCCTTCCTGACTGCAGAGAAAATGTAGCCAGATACCTTCTGTTCCTGTTGTCTAGCCATCCTTCCCCTCATTGATGGCCTGGACTCTATAACCAGGAGCCAAAAACCCCTCTCTCTTCCTTAGGTTGCTTTTGTTCGGTGTTTCCTCAATGCAATACTCACTATAGAGCTGTTTCCTGCTTTGATACAGTGTTACGATGTATTTAACCACGGCTTAAGCAGTAACTAGCATAAGATCTGTAACAGGTCTAGTCAAAAGAACAATGCTAGATTTGTCTTTTTGTTTTGGGTTTTGTTTTTTAAGACAGGGTTTCCTTGTGTAGCCCTGGCTGTCCTGGAACTTTCTCTATATAGACCAGGCTTGGCCTTAAACTCACAGAGATCCTCCTGCCTCTACCTCCCCAGCACAGAGACTAAAGGCATGCCCCACTACAGTCCAGCTTTTTTTTTTCTTATTCTCTTTCCTCTTCCTCCTTTTTGAGACAAGTTCTCATGTAACTTAGGCTATCTTTGAACTAGGTTTGTAGCCAAGAATGACTGAACTTCAGAATTTTCTGCCTCTGCCTCCTAGTGCTGGGATTACAGGCCACCCAATGTATCCAGTGCTGGGCTAACACTCTATCCCAGCCAAGTATATTACATATTTTTAACATTTTTAAATTGTGTGTGTTTTATTTATTGTGTATGGGTGTATGAGTGGAGGTCAGTCACTTCTCTTCTTCCATCACGTGGGCCTTGGGACCTTTACCCAGTAAGCCAGCTCTCTGACCTCAAGAATTCTAGAGTATTTTTGAGTCAGGGACTTACTGTTTAGTATTGGCTGGCCTAGAACTCACTGTGTAGATCAGGGTGGCCTCTAAATCATAGAGATCCACTTGCCTCTTCCTCCCAAATTCTGGAATTAAAGATGTGTGCACCACACCTGGCAGAATGCTAAATTTTTAAACTTAAAAAAAAAATTCTATTGGGGGCTGGAGAGATGGCTCAGAGATGACAAGCATTGGCTACTCTTCCAGAAGTCCTGAGTTCAATTCCCAGCAACCACATGGTGGCTCACAACCATCTATAATGCGATCTGGTGCCCTCTTCTGGCGTATATGCATACATGCAGGCAGAACACTGCATACATAATAAATAAATTTTTTTAAAAAATGACTTAAAAATTATATTGGGCTGGACAGTGATGGTGCATGCCTTTACCAGCACTCAGGAGTCAGAGGCAGGTGGAGCTCTGTGAGTATGAGGCCAGCCTGGTTTACAGAGCTAGTTCCAGGATAGCTAGGACCTTTATAATGAGAAACCTTGCCTCAAACAAAACAAATTCTATTGGGACTAAAGGGATGATTCAGCAGTTAAGGGTGCTTGATACTCTTGCAGAAGACCCAAGTTCAGATCCCAGAACCCACTTGGCAGGTCACAATTGTCTATAACCCAAATTCCAGGACACACACACACACACACAGAGGCACACACAAACACAAAGCAAAATGTTTAAATCTTCCTTTAAATGTTATTAGCAACCTCCACTATCTTTTGGGGCAGTGGTTTCTCAACTTTCCTAACGCTGTGACCCTTTAATACAGTTCCTCATGTTGTGGTGACCCCTAATAATGATATTATTTCTTTGCTACTTCATAACTGTAATTTTGCTACTGTTATGAATCTAAATGCAAATATATGCAGGATATCTGATAGGTGATCCTCAAAGAAGTCATGATGCACAGGCTGAGAGCCACTGTCTCAGGGGATCTGGAACTCTTTAAGCATTCTTTAGTAAACAGAGCTGTGGCAAAGCCAAGTACAGGATCCCTAAAGGAAACAGAATGGTGGTCACATGCCTATGGAGACTTTACTCCACTATAGTTGTCTCCTTGATAACAATGTTAATGGTAATTCACCAGTTAAAAGTAAAGTTTGGCTGGCGGTGGTGGCACACATCTCTAATCCCAGGACTCCAGAGACAGAAGCAGGTATAACCCTGAGTTCAAGGCTTGCCTGGTCTACACAGTGAGTTTCAGGATAGCCAGAGCTACATAGTGAAACCCTGTCTCAAAAACAAACAAAACAAAACAAAAAACCCAAAAAGTTAAGTCTGAGGCTGGGCATGTACTCAGTTGGCTGTGTTTGCCTAGCATGTTCAAGGCCCCTGGTTCAAACCCCAGTACCACATACACCAGACACAGCATAAACACAAATGTAATCCCAATCCCTGTAATAACAAAAAAATTAATGACAAAAAATAAAATCAACTTATTTTAAAATTTTTATTATATTTATTGTGTGTATGTGTGTGCACACATGTGCAGAAGCGTGCATGTTGCATGAGGAGGAGGTCAGAGGACAACTTGGGGGAGTCCTGAGCATCTAACTCAGGTCCTCAGGCTTTGTCAGCAATCACCCTTACCCACTGAGCCATCTTGCCAGTCCAACATTAACTTATTGAAAGGGGGAGTACCTGGAGAGATGCCGTAGTGGATAAATCGCTTGGCACACATGCATGAGGATCTGAATTCAGATCTCTAGTAACCATGGAAACGCAGGGCAGGCACAGCAGCCTGCCTGTAATCCCAGCACTCCAGGCAGACTCAGGAGATCCCTGAAGTAAGCTAGACTAGCTCTGGGTTTAGATGAGAGCTCCTGCCTCAATATATTAGATGGAGAATGACCAAGAATACCCCAATTCAACCTCTGGCCTCTGCACACAGACACACATATATGCAGAAATGCATACATATACATACACACCATACATACACACACACATACACACACATACCACCCCACAGACACATACATACAAAAGAGAGAGAGAGAGAGAGAGAGAAGTTCTGGAAAACTGCTCATCCCTCAAGAATGTGTCAGAGGTCACCACCCAAACTGTTCCCTGAACCCCTCCTCTGCTCACAGAGCCCTGAGCTGGTCTAAGCACCCAGGGGTGGGCTTGTGGTACAGTCTTTGCTCAGACCCATGGTGAGGGCTTCCCAGATAGCATAACACCTCCCTCCCAGAATACAATGAGGAGGCCAGACTCAGGTGAGAGAGCTGGAGACAGCGGCATACTGGAAACTAGCTGGTTGCAGTTGCCTCAGCATCCACAGGCTACAAGTGGGAGGCAGCCAGCTTTTCAGCAAGGGCATCTTAAAAGGTGGGCTGTGGTGGTGGGGGGTTCCAGAACCATTCACTACATGAACCTCCTGGACCCCACAAAACATGACCCCATCTCTCCTCACACATTGGAGGTGGGCCACAGACAAACCCCAAACTAGCCCCCAGACACAGCCAGGAAATCAGTGCAAAACAGCAACAAAAAGCATTTATAAGCAGGAATCAATTCTGTCCAGCATAAAGGGCAAATGCTCCTTAGCACATCCTGTTGGGATCCACACAAGCACGGGGACTGAGGCAACACCCAGAGTGTTCAGTTCAGGCTTTTGTTGCTTAGGATGTCAGAGGTTATCCCAGGACAGGCCACCAGGGTGCAGACGTGTTCCATAGCCTCTCCGGTCTGGCGCACTGCAGAGACCTAACAGATAGGTCCTAAGTAAGTCTTGATTCCAGAGCGCTGAGCTTTTTGAGTCTCCATGGTAACAGACTTCCAATAGTTTAACTACTAACTTCATATCCAAAGGAATCTGTGAACATGGGATCCAAGCACCTGAGACTGAACTTGCCTCTTGAGTCTCCTGAACCATTTCCTTCCAGATCTGGGCATGCTAGGGGAACGTGTTGATTAGAAAATGGGTTCGAATCCTTTGGCATAATAGCAGGCTTCAGCTGCTTCCAGATGGGCTGTTCAACTGATGTCCTGAGCTGTTCCAACCCACGATGCATAAAACAGACATGCACTCAGGGTCACAGTAGGTACAGAGTTAGAGGAAGTGGTCCAGGCTGAGGTAGGAGGAGACAGGTGGCTGCAGGGGCCTGGGACCTCTACAGTCCCTGAGATTCCCTGAAAGGAAGGTGTGGCCTTAGAAGGGCTCCTTAAAAGGCCAGGAGGAGGAGCTGGAGCCTTCTGTGTGCCCACTGGAGTGACAGTCAAAGGCAGAGGGTGCAAACCAGCTGTTTGCTGTGTGTACTTAATTTCTCAATGCGGAGCCGGGGATCGAACCTAAGGTGTGCTAGCAACACACTCTAACACCGGAGAGTTACAGCCCCAGCACCATACAGCAGAGAAACCCTGCCTGCGGGGAATCAGTGCATCTGATTCTTGCATCAAAAGGGCAGAGGTGGGTTTGGAGGGGGTACTGCCCAGGAGTCCAGCACTAACCTCAAGGGCCCCTGTGCCCTATGAAGCCACCACTTCCTCCTTCCTGCTGGGACTGTCCTGCGGTATCAGCATTCAGGCTGAAGAGCTGCACTATCCTTTACCCAAGAGTATGGAAGAGGGTGTTAGCTCCTTGGGAAGGAAAGCTGCCGGGGCCTCTCAGAAGCCAGAGCCAGGCAAGAGCCCAGAAGATCCAGAGATCACAGAAGAGCAAGGACTTGCTGGGACTGCCCGCCCCATAGAACACCACGGCAGAAGTTTCCCCCCACAATGGCTGCCTCAGCCCTCACTTGGCCTGCAGGTGGGGCTGGGCAGGCTGCTTAGGGAAGTGGACCCAGAAATAGTCATGAAGTCCTATGGGTTGAGGGTCTAGAAGAACTGAGGGGTCCTTTTACAGGGTGTCGCCCTTGCAGGGGGTCAGGCCATTTTAGCTGCAACCTGGTCACACCAGCCTGGTTGATTTGGCTCCATGCCCACATCAGGCACTCCAAGGGGCAAGGGCTTCTCGTGGCTTGGCAATGCCTCTGGCGTCTCCCACGGGAACTGAGAAGGACACTCCTCCTGGGAGAAGGGAACCTGCTCATCCTTCGGAGATCCTGAGGGGTTGGCATCTGGGTCCCCAACTGTGGTGCTGGCTTGGGAAGAGCACTGTGAGCTGTGGTCAGGGCTACTGCAGACATTCACGATGCAGGTGACATTGACATGGGTCCCATGGCTGCCGTGGGAAGAATCTGCAAAGCACAAGATGGGAGGAGGGGGCATGTGAGCCGGGGGATCTTAGGGTGGGGAAGTCCTTGCAGTTTGCTTCTTGTTCTAGAGGCAGGTTAAGATTGTGGGAAACAGCAGTAGGCAAAGCTGGGCATTGGTGGCACACGCCTTTAATCCCAGCACTCGGGAGGCAGAGGCAAGAGGATCTCTGTGAGTTCAAGGCCAGCCTGGCCTACAGAGCGAGTTCCAGGACAGGCTCCACAGCAATACAGAGAGACCCTGCCTTGAAAAAAGAAAAAACAAAAGAAAGAGCAGTAGGCCAAGGACCAAGAGACCAAAGATTCTAGTCTAATCACTGACCATCATTGTGCCTGTTTGCTCACCTCAATTTCCTCATCTGGAAAATGGGATGATATTAGTAATTATTTCTTAGTATTGATAAGCAGGTACAGTGTCCAGTGTATCACAACTTCCCAGGAATAAAATTAGCCAGGCTAACCCAGGTGTGATGCCCACACTATTAATCCCAGCAAGCAGGATACAGAGGCAGATGATCTCTGAGTTCAAGGCCAGCCTTGTCTATAAAGAGAGTTCCGGGATAGCCGGGACTGTTACACAGAGAAACACTGTCCCAAATAAATAAACAAACAAACAAACAAAAAAAATAAATCTAGAGTCAGACCAGTGTTGGGCCTAGGGATGTAAGCAGGATCTTAGCTTTAGGGAATCGCATAGGCCAGTGAGGGGAGGAAAATCCTGTGGAAGGAGAGCATGGCCTTGGGGATTCCTGAGGAATAGCCACACCAGCTGGGAATGACATGGTGGAAGGCTGGGGTAATACCCCCCACGAGACATGGGAGTCTTGAATGACAAAGCAGGAGCATCTGGCATGGGTGAGCCAGAGAGAGGACCGACACAAGGCAAGGTGGGGCCGAACCTAGAACCCAAAGTGGCTATAATGCCCCAGAGCAGGGAACAGAAGCTGCGGGCTGCCAAGGCTAGCCCCACAGGGCAACTCCAGGACACTGGCAGAGATTAGGCAAGGAATGCACACAAACCCCAGGTCTGAGCTGAGATTTTGCAGCAGTGGGAACATGACACACGCACACATTGCATAGACGCTGTGCACCTGGACCTTTTTCAGAACCAGTGAAACACAGTTTCCCCTCCCAGGACAGGCGGCGGCTCAGAGCCACAGCTCCCGGTCATCACGGTTGTCAGATGTGTTAAGGACATTTCCCACTTTTTCCAGCTAGTAGGTGGAGGGTTACCTATCTGCACAGAGCGGGAGAGAGACAGCTGGTTCCTGCCTCTTACCCGAAATCCTGGAGCCTGCACAGGCCTCCTGAGACCCTCGGGCCTCCTCCGTGCCTGCTGCCTTGGGCTGGCTCCTAGGGGGCGCCCTCCTGTCCGTGGCGCTGGCTGAGCTCTCCAAGCTGCTGCTGGAACTGGAGGCTGGGGTCAACAGGTGCTGCTGCTCTAGGCCTGTGCCATGGCCCCGGGACTTCTCTTCGGGCAGGTGAGGCTGGGAGGAAAAGGGAGACTATTGAGCCACCTGCTGGTTGGTGTCTTTGCCTTCCTGCCACCCCCATCACACACACTCCACAGCTTACACATTTCTGCCTTACACCACACACTGTTTCCATGCCCTCAGTCCACATGAGGAAACGGAAAAGTCGACTTTCTGAAGTCATCCAGCAGGGTAGAGAGATGTCCCAGCCTGAATGCAGATCACCCGAGTCTAAGTTTATCACTCTACCACTCACTGGCTGTCTGATCTTGAAAAAGTTACCTAAAGTCTCTGGGCCTCCATCTTTCCATGTACAAAGGAACAGTTATAGCTTATGTCTAGGATCATTGGGAAAACCAAACCTCTGGGAATTTCGAGGACGGTTGTGTAATAAGCCCTGCACAAGATACTGTTTATAAGAACTTAGCAGAAGTCCTACTCACAGGGTGGCAAGGCCTGCCAGTCAGGAACAACCTTCATGCTTTTAAACAGCTCCAATTAAAAAAAAAAGAAAAAGATAGTAACATTTTTCTTTAAGTCTTTTTCTAAAAATTTTAATTGTGTGTATACATGTTTGATTTTTGTCTTAGTGTGAGTAGGTACACATGTTTGCAGATGTGTTTGGAGGGACAGAAAGGGGCATCAGATTTCCTGGAGTTGGAGTCACAGGTAGTTGTGAGTCATCCGAGGTGGGTACTAGGAACTGAACTCACATTTTCTGCAGGAACAGGAAGGACTAAAGACTATATACAGGGCTCCTGGGTTCCGTCCTCAACACCACATAAGCAGGGTGTGGCGGTTCGTGTCTGTACCCATACTGACTGAGTGGGGAGACTGAGGCAGGGGCATCAGAAATTCAAAGCCACCCTCAGGTAGTGCTTAGGGCCAATATGGGCTACACAAGTCCCTGTCTGAAATAACAACATTCCCAAAACCTAAAGTATGAATTTTAGTGCCCATAAATAATCAAGTTTGGGGCAACCAAGCCACCATCACCGTTTAGTTGCAAAGGGTGGCTTTCCTGATTTACAGGCAGGTCTAAGTAGCTGTCCCAGAGGCCCGACTTGGTCCTCAAAGTTTGACACCTTTAAGCTCCGTTCCTTCCGTTTGATGAATCAGCCCAGTTCATGGAGTCCTTTCGCCCGGGCCACTCACAGAGCTCCTCACTGGTCCATCTCAGCTTCCCCTTCCCACGGTTCACCCAGAGGATGTTCTGTGGCTTCCCTGTGGCTTCTTACAGAATGACAACAAGACTGTACGTGACCTGAGCACCTACTCCTATACCTGAGGCACAGCTACCTCAGATCTTTCAGGAGCTCAGTCTAGCCTCGCACTCTGCAGATGTCAAGAATGGATTTCTTGCCCAAGGTCACGGTTAGGATACAATGCTGTAAGCTAAAACTCACCGTGCCTTTTCTGTGTGTCTAAGGTTCAGCTCCAGAGACTTAAGACAAAATCCCTTTTCGCAGTGACCCATGTGGAGGACAGCTGGATATACCACCCCAAGGCCACTATCTGTCCACACCAGCTGGAAAAGTGGCCAGGCCAGGCCTGGGACCCCCTGGCCTTCCTCCAGAGGGAGGCGCAATGCCAGGTGTAGTCTACACAGAAGCAATAGTTTGGCTATCCTTCCTGTGGCTGGTGCTCTCTCTAGAGAGTCACTGATATGCCATCTGAGGGCTCTGCCCACTATTGCTATGGCTTTCCTAGGTGCTCATGTGAGTCCTCAGGCCTCATTCCTGCCCAGTTCACAGCTCCTGACTCTGGACTAGATGGGTCCTGTACAAGCTGTTCCCATGAGGCCACCAAAGCCCACAAAAGGTGAACCCTTCTCAGAATCACATAGCTGGCTGGTGGGCTCAGCAAGAGCACCCAGGCCAGCATGTGCAAGCAATACACGCTGCATTCTCCTGCCTCCCCTGGGGTCCTGTCAGCCAGGTACCCTAGTTGGGAAGGGATGGAAAACATTCTGAATTCATAGTCTGACCCTAGTCCCCAGCTTTACCCTGTGGCCCTGCAGAAGCATTCATAAATGTCATACTCCCCAGCTCCTGAGAAGGGCCTTTTTTCTGGGCCTTCCCCTCTCTGCCTGTGGCTAGAGCCAGAAAGAGAGAGAGAGAGAGAGAAAACAAAAAAAAAAAAAAAAAGGTCACAGCTACCTCCCAGCTGGGAGCCACAAGCTGCAATGTTCAAGTACTGACACCATCACAGTCCTGTGACTCAGGCTGGGACCCCACAGAGTGAGTACCAAGGACCTCAGCTTGCCTGACATCTCAATACTTCTGGGCGTGGTCCTGTTATCTGGAGCAAGGACTGACAGAGGCATGGCTGGCTCCTCACAGGCTGTAGGGTCACGTGGGCATGCCTGAGAATGGCCCCGGAACTGTATGCTAGGAAGTGAGAGGCATGCTAGGTTTGTGTTCCAGGCCACACCCATCAGCTGTGCCACCTCAGGGCTGTTAGTCTCCAAGCATCTGTGCTGGCCTGTGCTTGGGGTTCTGACAGGATACGCCCTCAGCTGCAGCTACTAAGAGCATCACCTGTGCACATTCACTATGTTCCCTTTTAAAGGGCCCCGCCCACCTGCCGTCCCTCCCTCCGTCCCTCCCCCTCTCTCTCTCTCCCCGTCCCTCTCTGTCCCTCTCCCCCTCTTTCTTCTCTCCTCTCTCCTGGTGCTCCTGTCTCCAGAGGTCAGTCTCCCCTGTTCCCTTTCCCCCTTTTATGATCCCTTTCAATAATAATAATAATAACAACAACAACAACAATAAAAGGCCCTTCTGCTTGAACCCTGTCACATGGTGTGTTTCTCTCGAGAGCCACTTTTCTTAAATCACACCACGGACAGTTACTTACGAGTGTCTGGGCCATGTGTCCCAAGACCGTAAAGTTGGGGCAGTAATCACACAGACTGTGTTGTGTCCCAGACAGTGCTGGCATGAGCTCGGTACCCGACCACTGCTGGGGACTAAACACGAGGCCATGTGCACGCCTGGGGGAAGCGTGGGTGAATTCACATGCTGCTTTCCTAAATGATCCTACTTTCCCAGCCCTCAGAGTAGGAGCTGAGTCACTCACTCCAGCCTGGTCCTGCCTGGTGGCCTCACTCTAGCACATGAGGACACCATCCACAGAGCTCCCAAGAGGGCTCTGAGCAGGCGGCTGACAAGGTACAGGACTGGGCTAAGGGCGGTATCTAGGCTCTCCAACTCCTGGTGATGAACCTTGGAAAGCAGGCCCTGCTGGGAGAGGTCTGTTTGCGACAGCTTTGGATGTGTCTGCCAAACCCACCTGCTCAGAGGCTTTGAGCCTCAACACATACCACAGACCTAACTCTTAAGCCTTTCAAGAGTGACAGTAGCTCTTAAGCCTATGTTTCCTCATCTATATAGTGAGGAGTGGGGGCGCCCTACTCATGGGGACCAGTGAGGAGTCAGGCATAGTTCAGGGAAAGAGCCTGGCTATGCCCAGCCAGGGAAGCGCCGGCCTGTTTCTTCCCAACGGGAATGTGGCTAGATATTAGCTAGCTCCGAGGGAGTTTAAACTCCTGATATTCTAGGCTCCATCTGTACCAGCTATTGGAGTTACAGGCATGTGCCACCATACCCATTCAGTGCTGCTTGTATGATGGCCCAGCACCCTAGAAAAGGAACGGGAGGGGGAGGGGAGGACCACAGAGGGATACTCACCACCTTGGCTTCTCTTTGTAAGCAGGAGGGCTTCACTACAAAGAAGAGAGAGGGACAAGTCAGGAGCAGGGCGTCAGCACATCTATCCTAACAGAGACAGCATGGCTAGGATCAAGCTGGTGGAGTGGACCCAGGCCTGGCAGGTAAGACCCACAGATGAGCCTACCTTACTCTTAGCCACTACACTCTACCTGCCAGCCATCCTCCAGCCCAGCCTGTGCTGTAGCCTTGCCTCAACTGCACTCCACCCGCAGAGATCACAGAATCCTAGAGACTTCAGGTCCCTGGGATAGCCTCGACACTGCTTTCCAGTGGCCAGGTTAGAGGATATACCTTCCGTCCCAGCCTCTAAGCTCCTAGGGAACAAGCGACTACAGTCTCCAGATCCATTTGAGTTTATGATAGTGTAGCACTCTGTACTAGACACCCCACATCCAATTAGAACTAAGTCACCCAGAAAAGCAGTGAGGGGAAGCAGGGAGGCTGGAAAACAGGGAGAGAGAAGAACCTTACTTTTCTTCTGCCCCAGGATGAAGCAGTTCACCAGCCCTAACGCCACCAGACCCAGAGCTGTCACCCCAACGATCAGACCTAGGAAGAAGGCAGAGTATTCAGAAACGAAGGTGCCAGGCATCTGGGGCTGGTGCTGAGATCAACAAGTCCAGCCCAATGTCTTCAGATTCAGGGATAAACCAAAGATACGCATTTGTGAACCACATGCAGACAGAGGGTCACAGTCTGGGGTCTCCGACTTGGTGCCATGCTAACCTCAGGAGGGAAGCCCGAGACACTATCAGTCCATAGCCTCGTAAGCCAAATGGATTCATTCCACCCAGGGATTCCCTGTGACTACATCAGGCCTTTACAGACTCAGCTCCTCCACACCGGTATCTGCTCTAGGGGACCGAGCCCAGGGTCCCAGGTTCACCCACAGAAGAGAGGAGAGAAAGTGCCTCTTTTTATACTTTATTTTACTTTTGTTAGGTATTTAACCCCAAGCTAGTTGAGCACTCCCTCACTGGGATACATCCTTGGCTCCTTATTAAAGCTATTTTTATTTTGAGACAGGGTCTGACTAAGTCACCCAGATTGACCTTGGACACATTCTGTAGCCCAGGTTGGCCTAGAACTTGCAATTCCCCTGGTTCAGCCTCCCCAATAGCTCAGACTGTGCACTTGCAAGCCTGTCACTTGCAGACGGGTCACACTGGAGACGGGGACTCACCAACTGGAAGAGAGATGCCACCATTGGTGCTGTGTTCACTTTTGGGGGTCGAGCTCTCAAAGACAGAGACGGTGGGTGGAGTTTCGCTGTGCTCTGGCTCCGGCTCCAGGGGCTGGGATCTTGTGGGCTCTGGCTGAGAGATGTAGACTGTCTCTGGGATGGTGCTCAGAGTTGGGGACTCAGGTGCACAGACTGCATCCCTGCTTGCGTTTCCGGGGACGGCAAGGATGCTACATCTGAGGGAGGAGGGGTTTAGTCAGGAGGCCACAGAGGACAGTGAGCTTATTCCAGGGCACCAGGCCGGAGGACAAGATGTCAATGTCCAAGCAGTTGAGTATGAGCATGCCTTCTTAGCAGTACCCCTTCCACGCCCTCCACCTCCACTCAGTTGCCCTATCCAGCCTTGCCTCCATGTCTCAGAGACAATGGGTGGCAAGCTGTCCTATGTCCTGGGCCCCAGTCACTTCACTCAGGGGTCACCTTCCCTGCTCTTTCAGAACCCAGAAAATCAACACTCACGTGCGGTGGGGCTTGCATGTATCTGTGGATGATGTGGTGTCAGAGAATGTCCCTGGGGCACAGGCCTTGCACACCACGTTTCCATTTGCAGATCCTTGAAGAGAAAATCCAGAGCTTGTCAACAACATGAATACTTCATGCAATCAGGTGGGGAGTGTCCTAGCACTGGGGTCACAAGAGAGGCCTGTCCTGTTTATAACTGTCTCTATCTTAACATACACACATATGCACATGCACCCACATCTGTACACATGCAATACAATAAACACACATACACATGCATGTACACACATGCCCATACATGTACACAGACCTGCTCTCCAGGGTTATGTTTCTGCTTCATCTGATTTCCTACCAACTTAGAGCTTAGTATGACTCATATCTGGATCTATGTTAGACTTTAACGCACAGCAGGTTCCTAACTAGGGGTGCTGGTAGACATATACACAGATGCTGGGTTCCTCCATGAGGCTGAGAGGTCGATGCCTGTGACATCTGGGCGATGTTCATTCCGGAAAGGAAGAGGGGTCCTTACTCGTACTGGCCACTCCGAAGCCAGGGCCACACTTGCTCAGCCTTAGGCACTGTCGACAGCTGTCAGCATTTGTTGGCAAGGCACAATACATATCAGCTTTGCAGGTACACACTCGGTTCTGCTGTTTTGTACAGGCACGGATCTTCACCTGGTCTGGAGGAGGGGAGGACAGCCAGGGTCGTTTCTACCTCCACTCACCCGCGCTGCCCTCCCTGCCAGAGCTGGTAGGTCCCTGGGCATAGGCCCAAAGGACCCTGTCCACATTGTCCCTCGGGGCTGTTGTCTGCACCCCCAGCTCTGCCACAGTGTGAACATACACTTCTGCTCTCCCAGGCTCTACACCCTCAGCCCTGACACAAAGATGGCCTCTCCCCTCCCCCCTCCTCCCACCTCAGAGACCCAAGCAAGACTGGGGATCTAGAAGGAAATGTCACCTATAAGTGGCCAGGCAAGGTGTCACATACTTGTAATCCCAACACTGGGGAAGTTAAGGCAAAAGGATGACTGTAAGTTTAAAGTGAGCCTGGGCCTAGTGGAAAGTTCTAGGCCAACCTGGGCAACTCAGCAAAAACCTATCTCAAAAAAAAGCCCACAAAAACAGCCCAGTGGTGGTGGTGGTGGCAGCACACGCCGCTGATCCCAGCACTTGGGAGGCAGAGGCAGGTGGATCTTTGTGAGTTTGAGGCCAGCCTGATCTACAGAGCTAGTTCCAGGACAGCCAAGGCTACACAGAGAAACCCTGTCTTGAAAAACAAAAAAAAACAAAAAACAAAAAAAAAAAAAAAAAAAAAAAATCAATAAAACAGAACAAAAACCCTGAATTGAAAGCTCAATTCAGTCTGGGGGCTCAGACCTGTAATCCCAGGAAGCTGAGGCAGGCAGTCTATAAGTTCAAATCCAGCCTGAGTCATTGAGCAAGATTCTTTTTACAAAGTAAGGGGCTCGGGAAGGAGGTAACCTGATGATAGAGTACCACAGCCCAGCCCTATGTTCAATCCCCAAAAACTGCAAATAAAACCAAAGTTGGGGGCTGAAAAGACGGCTCTCTGATTGAGAACACTGGCTGTTCTTGCAAAGGACCTGGGTTCAGTTCCTAGCACCCACATGGTGTCTAACAAAGGTCTGTAACTCATTCCAGAAGATCTGATGCCCTGTTTTGGCCTGCATAGGTAAAAATACCTATGCATAAACAATAAAAATAAGCAAATATTTTTAAATTTTAAAGCAAGTTCTGGGAATTGGTGTGGCACAGCTAAAAAGTGTGTGTATTACCTGCACGAAGCCCCAGGTTCCAGCCACATGAATACATAGGTAAAGAACAGTACCTGCCACTCAGGTCCCAGGAGATGAAAACAACTGGCCCAAGGTAACTCCACCCACCTTCCTAGGCTGCAAGAGCTAGTGATCAAGGAGGGTGCTGGGACCATCCGGCTCAGGCCACTCACCATCACCACAGCGAGAACCACAGCTCAGGCATGTGGGAAGCCTGTTCCAGAGCTTGGTGTACGTGCCCTCCTCACAGTCAGCACACACCGTGTCTGAGGTTTGGGTGCAGAAGTGTTTCACATGCTGGCCTGAGAAAACAAGGACCAAAAGTCTCAGCGCAAGACAGTTCTCAGCCAAGTCCTTAGATGCCAGGGTTCTGAGCCCCAGCCAGAAAGCACCTCCGAAAAAGTATCATTGCCTCCATGGACTCTTCACACATCTACTGGACCCTAGCCATCTCCGCCTCTGTACATACCTCCCTCTCCGCTCTCTCTCTCTGCATAGTTGCCAACCCCCGTCTTCTTGATAGTTGGTTAAAATTCTCTACTCTGCTGTATGAACTATAAGGAAAAGGTGGCAACAAGGATGTTACACCTAGTAGCCTGTCAGTTGCTGTGCAGTAGCCAATGGCACGGGACTCCTAAAAGTCTGGGGGTGGCAGATCACCAGGGCAAACCTTTAAGGTATGTTGTTTTCTCTCCAGGTCCTCTCCCATTCCTTTTCTGCCAAGCTCACCGCTATTCTAAGCTTGTAAGTTCTTAGACACTCTTCTAGTCAGTATAAAAGCCACTGTCCTTGGGGTCTCTCAAAGTGACCTGTGTTCCTACCCACTGGGTTAAGCAAATGGCACAAAACCACCAGTAAATAAAATCTGAATTTTTCATGGTGACTCTGTTTCTCTCACTTAATCAAATCATTATCATTATTATTATCAAAGTCAGGTCATGAGGCTTGCACAGCAAGTGTGTTTACACACTAAGCCATCTCAGCAAGCTCTTATCTCGGCATTCATCCCTTCCTCCCATCACACTCTCTTCTTTAACTCTGGACCACACACGCCAACCTCAAGGTTCCTTGAGCTCACTGAACAGACTCCCACTTTGGGGCTTCCCACTCACTTCCTGGTCTGCTGTCTCCTGCATGCTTGTGGGGCTTGCTCTCTTGCAGGGCTCAGAGAGGCCTTCCTGGACCACCCAACCTCATCTGGAGCCCACAGCCCTGTCTGCCTCCATCAGCCTTGTTTAGCCTTCTCTCCATCACTGCAGACAGCACCACATTATCTCTTAGGTAATCTGTCTGCCCTCCTTTAGGAAGCAGACAGTGGCTACAGAGATGGCTCAGCAGTTAAGGGCTCTGGCTGCTCTTCCAGAGGACGGGGTTAGACTCTCAGCAACCACACGGTGACTAACAAGCATCTGTACTGTCAGTTCCAAGGACCTAATGCCTCTTCTGACCCCCAAGGGCACTGTATGAATGCAGTATGTGGACATACATGCAGGTAATACACCCATATGTGTAAAATAAAAATAAATAAATCTTACTTTAAAAAAAGATAAGGGAGGAATGTCTGCTGGGCGTTCTGTTATAATCCAAGCAAATTGAAGACATAGTAGGTGCATTATGAATGCTACTCAAGTGACTGCGTGTATTTGATGGGTACTCATCCCTGAGGGCCAGTTACTCAGTCCTCCACATTGGGGCTAGGGCTCAGATCCACCATCTATGAAATGGGTACACACTTATTCACCTGATAATTATGTACAGGACACCTATAAGGTCCAAGTCATGTGCCGAGAATTGCACAGGGACCAAGTTACAGTCTCCACTCTAGAGGAGCACACAGTAAGGCTCTGGGAAGAACCAGGCCATCATTGCGGTATGGGGCAGGCTTCTTGGACAAGGAGACAGTGTCTAAAATGTAGGGATGCATTAACCAAGAGGAGGCGTTGAGAAGTGTGCTGAGCAGAGGTAACAACATATGCAAAAGCCCAGGGCAAGATGACTAATGGACCCTAGACTGTGTGTCCCTGGAAGCAGCTCAGTGAGGACTGAAGGCCCTCTTCACCATCCCTGGACAAGCACTCTCTCCACGGCACCAGCGTCCAAACGCCCAGCATCTGCCTCTCACCAGGTGGACACGTAGCGCAGCACATCTGAACCTTCTTGTTGTAGTATTCCTTCGGGTCCCGGCACGTGTCCCCAGCTTCTGGCTTGTAGGGTGTCAAGGTAACCTGGAAGAGAGCAAGTGAGACAGCCGTCAGCTCATGACCCTGGGCTCCAGAGCACCTGTCACCGGGCCTCCTGGATGGGTTCTGGGCTTTGGAGGAGGAGGAGGAAGGCTTGAGGAAGTAGAGTCCTGGCTTTTTCCCTTCCTCCCTCTCTCTTCAGCAGGGCACACTTGTGTCTGCGGGTGGAGAGGCTGGACCAGGGAGTGGGTTACGTTAGGCCTTCCTTCTTGCTGGATGAGTCCCAGTAGGGTTCAGAGAAGACAGGTTTTTTTTGTTGTTGTTCTTTTTCCAGTTCTCTCTCCCTCCCTCCCTTCCACCTAAGCAGTGGAGCCAGGATGTATCCCTGGTGCACAAAAAGACCTTGCGGGCACATCCCCCATGGAGGGATGCTCCCTTAACCTAGAGACAGGAGAGAAGTCCTAGTCCCTACTTCAAATGACTTGACAGATTTAGAAGACACAGTTTTTTTTTAAGACAATGGCGTTGATCACAGAAACAAGGTCCTCTACACAAAGCTGCTCTCTTTCTAGGATGCCTACCCATCTGTCCCTCTGTCCTTCTGGCTGAGGTCTGCCTCCTCCTATAGGTTCTTCCTGCTCTGGGCTCTCGCTACATGGATATGGCCCCTTACAATATTTGTGTCATTGTTCTGACGTGACGCCGTGTTTCCTTGTACTCACATCCATGCATATGCATGTAGGTGTACATACACATGTTCACATGCTGACACCTATGATGCAAAGAGCAGAGGCAGTGGCCTCGTCACCTCTGGACCCAAGCTTCTGACATAGGCCATGGCAGAGCTGCCTCAGGAAGTGAATACAGGATGGAAACAAACCTATGGGCTGGAAAGGTCTGGACCAGGGCAGGAATGGCTGCAGCATTGTCTAAGAACAAGTTTCCGACTAACCTTGTCCTCAAACCAGGACCAACGCCCATACCTCTTGGCTGGCAAGCATGTGGCCCTGTTGCCACATCCTGTCACCCCACCCTCTTGACTGAGAGCCTTCTCCTGTCACAAGAGGCCACAGCTCAGGCTCTGCTTCCATAAACTGAACCTGAGATGGGTGTATTAATGCAGGTCTCCAACAACCAGCCAAGATGCACTATGACTGGTGTATAGAAAGGAAACAGGAGTATAAAGAGAGCGTATCACCCACCCAGGGTTCCACAGTAAGTGGAAATTTGAAACTGGGTCCTGTCTGTTCTCTTGCCCATGTTTTTTTTTTTTTTTTTTTTATTTATTTAACTTTATTTTACGTGTATTGGTGTGAAGGTATCAGATCCCCTGGAACTGAGGTTACAGACAGCTGTAAGCTGCCATGTGGATGCTGGGAATGGAACCCAGGTCCTCTGGAAAAACAGGCAGGACTCTTAACCACTGAGCCACCTCTCCAGCCCCATCTTGCCCATGTTTTCAATGGCTGTGCCAAGGACCTCCCTGGAGAGACCAGCAAGGTCAGGAATGATGGTGAGACGGAGCGAAGTCTCGGTGGTTGAGAGCACTTGTTAGTCTTGGAGAGAGAGGACCTGGGTTTGGTTCCCAACACGGCTGCTCACACCTGCCTGCAACTCCAGGTCCGGGGCGTCTGACTCTACCTCTAAGCTCTGCTCCATCCCGAATGCCTATGGCACACATACACGCACTTGGGCACATGCACATTTTTTAAATAAAGAAAGACGGACAGACAAGGCAGACAGAAGGGGAGGAGAGAAAAAGGAAACAGCACCGGCATGGCACAGAGCCAGCAGTGAGAAACACAGCGCCCTCCCTCGGATCTCCAGGTGGCCCTGGGGAGTGTGCCCTGGCAGCAGCAGCAGCAGCAGCAGCAGCAGCAGCTGTCAGCACTGTGCCTGCCCCAGTACCCTGGGGACCTGCCTGAGCGCCAGCCTTCCTTCCAAGAGTCGGGATGGCAATCGGAGCCCTTAGGGACAAGCATGTGTTAGCCACTTCTGCAAGGATGTGAGCTCATGAGCAAACACGGGCGCGGATCCAGAAGCACAAAGAGGGTGGTTCACACACACCCAGTGTCCCTGAAAGTTCCTGCCGACGACGTCACCTGAAAATGACCAGGGGGTGGTTCTAGGTCAAAGTTGAGGGCTGGTTTATACTCTATTGGTACCAACAGCTTCCATCACATGGTCAATAGGAGCTCGTTTATTGAAGCAGTGACGGTGACAAGTCCTCTGATAGAGACTTAGAGAGGCACGGTTTCATTTTCTTATTCTACCACTTGCCAGCTGTAGGATCACAGGCGAATGTTTCCGCCTCTCTGGACCTCAGTTTCTGACTGAACTCCACGGGAGCAAGAGAGATACACAGAATATCTGACAACTGACACAACCAAGTCATTGATCAGTTCCCTTGAACAGCAGTTGTAAACGAGTCAGTCAGAGAAGGTGCCTAGCACTGTCTGAGAGCATCACTACCCTGGCCAGCAGGCGGTGACAAGCCAGCTGCTCCCTAGTATTCTTTCCTGTTCAGCCAGCAAGTCATTCACTAATAACAGCTGGAAGCCACCTGGGGCCATGACTCAAGGTACTGGAGTTCCCAGTCTTTGGTCCTTCTGGTCCTGCCCTGGGCTCTGGCTGTCTCATGCTCCTTCTAGCCAAAGTCCACGTGTGCCCCCAGAGGGCATCATCTCTGCAGGTCACTACCTTGGATGCACAACCCAATGCAGACCCCAACTTGTTTCCATGCTCTCCCAGTACTCCCAAATTGGGCCTGAGGGATGGGGGTTATGCTCTGAAGCTGCAGTGAGAGCTAATCTACCCAGATCCAGACAGAAAAGGAGACCTTGAGCAGGGCAGTAATCCCAATGTCATTTCCTGAGGGAGAGGTCCTCACCCTGGGCACTAGAGCCAAGAGGCCTGAGCAGAAAAGCACCTGCCGCCATGGCCTGTTTCTGAGTCCCCCACCAGAGCCATCTTTTCAGGAAGGCCATGCAGACAGCTGGGTGAGGGAAGCCTCAGAGCCAGCCATGATGGGTACCCAGTCTGAAAAGGCACTGCAGCTCCTTCTAGACAGGGGCATACACATGCGAGTACAGGCACACACGTGTGCACACACTGGGGCTGAGCACCCACTCTAAGGGTGCTCCACACTCTGGGGCCTCGCTGCCTGTGTCCAGGGCAGAGGGAGTCAGTGGGGCTGGTTGCCCCCTCCACACCTACAGGGGAGTCTCGGGGATAGGGGGTCGGTCATACCCCTCCAAAAGAGGAAAGGGAAAATATGGAGGGACTCTCCCCAGGCAGCAGAGAGCTCTGCTTACTCCATTCAGTCTGATTACCACACCCCATGGACAGAGCAAGGTAAGCTGGGAGAAGCAGTGAGGAAGGACACACAGAGCAGACGTGGGGAGGGACGCTGAACCCCAGAAATCACAGTGTCCCCCACAAAACTCCCAGTCTAGCCTCTCTGGAGAAACTGTCTCATTTAACTAAGTACCTTCTCCCTTCCCTCCACCCTTTCCTCTTCCTCAAACAGCAGCCTCCCTCCCCACAGGGGGGGGGGGTGTGGGCTGGATCTCATGGGAACCCTATCTATCCCCTCCAGTATCCTGGGTGATGGTGACCACAGGAGCCCCTACCTCATCTGGGCCCTGAGCAGCTCTAATTGCCCAGAGAAACACTGCTTTGGCTAGGGGACAATTTCCTTCCAGACCTAGAGGGCCTGATGGGAAAAGGCCTTGGCTCCGCCAAATTGCACTGTCTCACTGACCCACCCACGGACAAGTGCTCCTGGTAGCCAGCTGGACCCCATGGCCTTCAGTTCCTTCCTCCCAGGGATCTCTTCGTACCCAGGTTCACTATCAATAAGGTCCCTGGTGCTTTCTCCAGGGACTGGCATAGGGGCCCAGCCCTCCCTCAACAACCTCAAGGCCTGTTTATTCTCTTGGACAGAGAAAGAAAAAAAGTATACCAAACCACAACCTAGTCAGGGCTAAACAATGAGGAACAGAAAGCCCCTGCACAATACAGAACAAAAGGTCACTCCCGCTCGGGGAGCTCCCCAGAGACCCAAAACATAGCCTGGGGAGCTGGGCCTGGGGCCACTAAGGGGACCATGCAGAGTGGGAGGGGAGGGGGTGGGGCCAGATAAATCCTGAGCTTCATGGGGCTGGAGAGGACTCCAGTCTTCTGCTTTGCATTGGGAAGATGCAGATTTGCCCCCACCCGCAGCCCGTGAGGATCTGACTCCGAGAAATGAGGAAATGAACCCAACTATTGTTGCCATTCTCAGCATGTTTACTGGAGCCAGTTGTTCAAAAGACAAAGCCCCAAACAGGGTGTGGGGAGGTGGCCCATGTCTTTAGTCCTGGCACTCAGGAAGCAGAGGCAGGAGGATCTCTATGAGTTCAAGGCTAGCCTGGACTACATAGAGAGTTCCAGGACAGCCAGAGCGAGAGGCTCTGCCCCTCGCAAAAGGTAACCCTCCAGGTCAGAACTAGAAACCTATGGTAAGAACTAACACCCACTGCACAGATAGGATTTAACCTGGTAGACAGAGACTGGAAAGAGGATGGATGGAGGCGAATAAAGAAATGGATAGATGGAAAAATGGATAGATGGAAGGGGGGGAGAGAGAGAGATGGAAGGAAGGACTGAAGGATGGACGGACAGATGGATGGATGTAAGATGGACAGACTGAGAGATGAATGGATGGTAAATGGCAAGACCCCTCCCTGGGCGTGGATCTGCCACTGAGACAGGAATTTAACAAGAGGGAGAAGGTGACATTGACATGGGAGAGCCTTCAGCTGGTGGTAAAGGATGTGTTCCCACCAGCACAGCCATTATACGAGCTAGAAGGACTGCAAAAGCTTAGACCCAGCACAAGTACCTATTGTGTGAGGTGCCATTCTGGGCACGCTCACATGAATTGCTCCAATTTTCTCTCTGAACCAAATGTTGAGGCCCGCACAAGCCTTTGGTGGCTTGAAGGAAAATGGCTCCCTCAGTTAGTCTAACCATTTTGGGAAGGATTTGGAGGTGTGGCCTTG